CTACTATCGGACAATAATTTAAAAGACGGGAGAGTTTCAGTGTGTAACATAAATAAAAGTTACGGAGTATAGGATTATTTTTTTTACGATAGGATATATCATTTATTAAAGTCCTTGCTCTACTTTCGATCATTGAATCCCATTCTTTGATCAAACACTAATTTACATAACCGTGATTAGGGTGGATGATTGCAAAAAATATCAATGGTAAGAAAAAAGATGCACAAAAAATTAGTAAATTTGGAAGTATGTCATGATTGAAGTTATTAGGAGTTTCTTTTTTCTTCATAGGGTGTGTTACATAGCATGACTTTATAGGAAAGTGACAATGGGAGAAAATCGTAAATTCATAATAATGAAAGTGATGAAGACTACATAGTAAAAATATATTAACCACTTATCTTAAAAAAAAAAAAAAAAAGAAAAAAAAGGAAGAAAAAAAAAAGGTAAAGTTATCATGAGAAATTAATGAGATTGAGATTAATATCAACATGTTAAACACAGTTGAATTTAAGATGATATACTTTAAATTAATACTTTATTTAGGCAGACAAGAGTCTATTATGCTTGCTTATTATATAAGCTTTGTGATTATATATCCAATAGCTAACCAACAATATACCTAGTTTTTGTAATATCAGCAAAAAGCAATGTGAATTGAAATGAAACAAATTGATATATTATAAACTCAATTACCTTTTCAAAACTAAAGTTGTTACCACTGCGTGTGAGTTTGAACATTGTAAGTATAAACTTGGTTTCTAATTAATTACGTAGTTTGATAAAAGTAAGTTCTTTAACTTGTGGAATACGTGACTAATAATGATCAATTCCAATTCTACTACTCCTTGTATCAAACGATATAAAAATCGTCATAGTATTCAGATTAAAGTTAATATATTAACGTATCACGTATGTATAATGTAATTAAGGGCCTGTTCTCATAGACTGAATTCAGCTGAATTGAAATGAACTGAATATTTTATAAGAGAAGGAAATTAGGAGCTGAACTGAACTGAACTGAGCTGAGTTGAGCTGAGCTGAACTGAATAGAAAATAAATGTATGAGAACATGCCTTAAGTATTGGATATATACAAAAGTTATCATATTAGCTCGTAGTAACTTTCTTATTTTTGATGTTTGTGTGTACTTGATACAAAATGCTTAGCATAATCATGTGTGTACAACATGTGCTAAAATAATTTATCTTTTATCGTGTGTTACGGGTGAGGTGGTGTTACATACTCCCAAATAAAAAGAACTTGAAAAAAAAAAGGTTATAACAATGATACATAGACTCAAATTTCCAAATAGATTTCCATAAATACACACATCCAAAGGTGACCAACAACATTATTTAGTTTCTTTACCCACCCAAATCACATAAAAAAAAAGGGCAAATATATATTATAAAACAATTGTTAGTTCATTTCTCAGCATTATTTCATCTCAAAATTCCTTCCTTCCTCCATTGTTAAGTTCTTCATTCTCACCCAAAAGTTAAGAGAGAAAAAGGGTAAAATGGGAAGAGGAAAAGTGGAGCTGAAGAGAATAGAGAATAACATAAGTAGACAAGTAACCTTCTCAAAGAGAAGAGCTGGTCTCTTGAAGAAGGCTAAGGAACTCTCCATCCTTTGCGATGCCGAAATCGCCCTCATCGTCTTCTCCCCCCGTGGCAAGCTCTATGAGTTCAGCAGCATCGAGTATTTTTTTTTTCTCCCTCTTTTTTCATCTTATTCTTCCTCATTTTCCATTCAAAATGAACAAAAATAAATAAAAAAAAGTAAGCACTTTCACCAATGGAAATTGGACACGTGGAAGATCTAGGGTTTCTTAAAATTTCTAATTGTTTGGGTGTTTGCAATTTTGCATTATATTATACTTATAAAATTCTTAATGCAAAATGGATATAATTACAATTCTATATATATTTACACCAAAAATATAATTTATAATTTTTTTTTTTAAATGGTAATAGTAAAAAATGTATGAAACAATATGTAGCTACTATAATTGTGATTATTTGGAATTTTTGGGTTAAAATTATGGAATTAATTACCAAAATTCTAATTACTTGTTTGTAATGCTTGTGATGTGATTGTTATTCAAATTATTTTAAGGAATGAATAGTATAATTACTAATTAAAGGGATTTATTGAAATTGAAATAAATATAGTGTCAGAAAATCAATTTGTTTTGATTTTCCTCGGATTTTCTTGTAGTGGTTGCTTTTCTCTTTTCCCTCTTCTGTGTATGCTTCTCTCTCTGCAATTTTTTGCTTGTTTGCTCACTTTTTGTGCAACACTTCTCATAAAAGACAAGTAATTGGTAGAGAGGGAATTTTATTTTACGTTTATTGATACCGTCCTTATAACTTTAATCAATTAAGATAGCTAAGTAGCACTCGTATTAAGTACGGGGTTGTTAATAACATTGATTAGACTTCTACTATGTGTGATTGGGTAATTGTGCAGTTGCCTTCCGAAGACCCTCGAACGGTATCAGCGTAGTGGCAACACTATTGATCTTCATCATCATCACCAAGACCATGCCATTGAGGTTCAGACGCAGGTTTGAACATAATGTGTACTGAACTTGTGATGTATTAGTCACTGATCTCTTAAAAAGCTAAGGTTAAATTTGCTAGGTTAACTTAAAACTACATCGATTAATTAATTAATTAATTTAATATGTTCTTTGGAATGATTTATATTGACACTACTATAAAATTTAATTGAGAATTAGTTGATTTTAATCATCAAGCCAATGATTTGTTGTTAGGTTAAAGATTAGCTAAATTATAACTTCACCAATCTTAATTCAAAGTTTATATTCGTAACCATTTCTTAATTTTTTTGGACTAACATATCATTAATTTATTAAAATCAAAGTGTAACTTATATATGCAAGTGCACCATAAGAATTTGTTATCCTTCATTAGAATAATTTGTTTATCTTGTTTAATCCATTATGTAATTTTACTTTGTATATACGTAGTATATATGCATCAAAATATTTTTCTAATAGATTCAATTGTAAATATTTATAAATTGTATCAATGCATACATGTTATATTAAGTATCTCTCCTTTTAATTTCTTATTTACAGAGCTGGCTCCAAGAGATCGCGAACTTGGAGTCACAATATGAAATTCTACAAAGAGCTCACAGGTCTAAATTCCTAGTAGTTTTATGTTAATTACCTAGTAATTTTGATTAGTAAACTGTTTGCTCAAATAACAATGGTTTGTTCATTTTAAACTCATATTAATCATATATAAGGAACTCATTCAGGGTAATAAAGCAAAAATGTATATAAATTTAACGCCATGATTTACTTGATAATTTAGGCAAATGCTAGGAGAGGAACTTGGAATTCTAAGCTTGAAAGACTTGCAAAGTCTTGAAAAGCAGCTTGAAGGAGCTCTTGCTCGGACTAGGGCAAGGAAGGTATTCTTCAAACGTTAATTTAAGTTTATATATGCTTCGAAGACTAATGATTTATTTTTTTTTATTTTTAATTATGAATTCAGAAATAGTTTTATCTCTGAAAAATTGCATATTAATGTTACATATGTACATGTAGTAAAATTGAGGGACAGAAATTGGACTAATTTAACAAAGCTACTTTAATGATATGAATCAAATAATTAATAATGTATACATAAGTCTGATATATATTCACTCAATTAAACCTAAATGACAAATTAAACAAAATGTAATCTGAATAATATTGATGTATTATAATAGGCACAGCTGATGACCGAGCAAATGGAGGCACTTCGAAGATCGGTAAGAACGCCGTCACATCTTCCTCAGATCATGAAGTATTCATAATCTTACAAAGATGTTATCTCATATGAATCGGTTTATATATATTATCAATATTGTTTATTATTCATAACTATGTATATGTTTTGATTATAATTGAATAAGTACCATAATTAAGTCGTTAACAATGCTTTGTGTTTTCTAGGAACGCAAACTTGGAGACTTAAACAAGGAATTAAAGCTGAGGGTTTGTTTAATTTCCTTCAACTTTCATTAATCTTATAATGTCACCCAAAAAAAAAAATGTTTGTGATTGGTTTTAGGCCAATGCTTTGTGTCATTAACAATGCTTTGTGTAAATTGTAATGCATGCAGGTAGGAGATCAGGGACATGGTTTTAGGCCAATGGATTTGAATTCAAATGGTTGCATCCAATTCATACACCCTTCTCAGTCTACCAATTTCGAGTATGATCCTGCTGTCTTGCAAATCGGATCCTACAAACCCGAGCCAGTTGTTCTAGATTATATAGGGTACGTAAATTATTCCCTCCATTGATCTCAATATCCTTTAAGTGCGTTCTTGTTAATTTTTATATCATTTCATCAAAAAATTAGACTTCTAGATGGTTAAATTCTCTCTCTTGTGTTTGGTTTTTTTCGAGCAGGTATCCTCCCCAGTATGCGTCTCATGAGGATGAAGGGCCATCGAATGGCAGTCAAAGAGCTAGCTTGGGTAGTGACACTACTAACTTTCATCAGGCAGGGTGGTTGCTTTGATTAAGATGGTGCTCAAATACACTATTACTATTATACTTTCTATAAGCATAACTCTACATGCTTTGTTTGACAAATTAACTTATGTAATCTGATGTGTTTGGTGTGTTACATACGTGTGTTAACGCGATTACGATTACTATGTAGGGGGGAAAAATGATGCCAACGACGTATCGAGTTGTGTTACGTACTATGATTTCTTTCCTTGCAGTAAGTATATAGATTGATGTTCCTTATAGGAATAGTAGTGTTTTGGAGTACTAATGTACTACCCGACTTTTTATTGATTTTGTGTGTATTGGTTATTTTGGATTATGTATTTGTTACAATAGTGAGTTTGCTAATGAAAACAATTTACCCATCAGATTTGATCCACATTATCGATAGCATATTGTGTAACACTCTAACCTGTTATTTATACACCTAAAATCATGATAATTGTTGCAAATAGGAAAATCAATAAAAGTCGATTAAACATCAAAAAGGAACGGAGTACATTAATGAGAGTTTTACAATTGAAAATGATTAGTCTAATAAAAAGGCTCAACAGTTCATACAAAGACATAATTTTCATATGTGGCTCGCGAAAAAAAAATTAACAAAAGCCGTTGATCTAGCATGTACCACCTTCGATAACATTCAGTCAAATCTGGGCATCACATGAACCCAAGATGTCAAAACTTTTAATATGATGCATGAAAATTTAACTCCAGTCACCTCATGTGCCAAAGCTACGATCTCCAGCATCACCAAGGCCAGGAATAATGAACCTGTAGCGCAAATGAATTAGTAAGCCTTGTGATAATGGTTCCATGTAAAGACAAATCATTACTCGAGCAAGAAATTAGTGCCTACCCCTTTTCATTAACAACTTCATCAATGATTCCAGTGTATACATGAATCCTAAATTTAAGAGAACAAAGTTCAGTTCATAGATCAACCGCACACATTACTCATTTGGAGTATAGACAACTAACTAGGTAGAAAACTTTCATACCCTGGAAACTTTTCGCTGAGCTTTGTGAGTGCTGGAGGAGCAGCGACGGCTGAAATCTGTGGAAATTTTAGTTTACATAAGCTAAGCACTTTTCAAAATAAGAAAACCACAAATTTGCATTCATTGCAAATAAGGAAAAATTTTGATGGGTCAAATTCCTCAATTTCAGAGAACTGAAGCAACTTACCACTTTAATTTGTTTGTTTCCAACTCCACGTTCTTTTAACAGGTCAATTGCTTTAACTATTGTTCCACCTGAAATTTCAAATGAGCACCATTCATAAACTCGTACTCCATAAGTGTTAATGTATGGAAAAAGAGAGATTTGTATGTCCTGGCAAAAGGAGGATGGATAAAAAGAAAATGCAAAGATGATGCAGTTTTAATTTGTAGGTGCAGAGGACGGTGACTGCTAAAAGAACACAAGCATAATGCGCCAGTAGATTTATTACTGAACTAAATCTGAATGGCTGCTGATTCCTGACAATAGCTCTTCACTGAAACACGAGTCAATTGATAATCACCATCCTAAATTAGGGGAAAATTGAGGGAGGTTTATCAGAAGATATAAACATGTAATTGCATCTTGGAACACATGCTGAAAGGCTACTCATATCTCGCTCAAAGCATCTCTGCTAGAGAAGCATTGACAATAGACATCCATGACATATTGAAGGTTCTAGGCCTTGGAAAATAAATTAAACATTAATGGGTTGATGTGTAGTATTAGAGCGAAACTGCAAGAACGAACATGTTGTAGCAGCATAATTTGAATTAAAACAGTGAAACAACCAGCAACAACAAATATACTAATGCATATTGCAAAAAAAAAGAATCCTTGAAGCCTCAAGGCATCAAAGCAATATATAAAAAATCAATTACCTGTTGCCAACATTGGGTCCACAACAAGTATTCGAGCTCCTTCAGGGAACTTTTCTGGCAACCTGGAAGACGAGATGTTCAGGCTTAAACTATGCCCTTGGCTATAAATTAAACTTAGAATACAAAAGATCATAGATCAATAAAGCTACACCTACATAACACCATTCAAGAAATTACTCTCATACGCAACAAAAGTCAATTACATTTATAAAACAGCAGGACAAAAAGCACAACATGTTAGCCACCAAACACTCGACAAAAGTATTTAAAAGGTAGGTTTCTCTCTCTTTAACCCACTTCAACATTTACTTCACTTATTTTAAGGTTTTTTTTTTTTTTTTTTTTTTTTTTTGGGGGGGGGGGGTGAATTTATAGTGAATTAGGCCTCAAACATTAGATAACTAGATCCTAAAGATGCAGCAAAAACCAATAGCCATCTGCTTTCTCCTTATGCATAAAATGTCTTCTGGATAAGACTCGAAGGCAGTATGCTCATCCTTAGATAAGAATCTTACTTGTTCAAATAGACAGTTGGCTGAAGTGTCTCCTCATCTCTGCTGACCCCTTAACATGAGACATGACAGCATTAATATTTTGAAAAACATATACAACACAGAACAAGTTATATAAGAGAGTAGTAACTAGTAAGGAACCTGAACCTCGGTAAACTACTGCTTGAACCTAATCACTGAACTTATTTTCCTTAAACTCAAGTGGATATAATCACATAAACTTAACATACCTACATGATAGGTTGCCATTGAGGGTAGAATAGTGGCTGCATGCTCTGCAAGTGCAAGACCAGCTCTTAAAATAGGAATAACCTGCAAGATAAAAAAGTGAAAACATTTAGGAAGAAAGTTATCGTTCCGAGAAAGGTGATGAGGCTCAGAATCTCAGATCACTAACTCTTTGAGATGCTTTAGGCCATTTTGCTTGTCAAGAATTTTAACCCACAATAAGGGTAACAACATTGTGCAAGGATATATATTGTTTACTGAAACATCCATCCCAGTATTATAGATAATTGACATTGAAACATGATGATATTGAAAAGCAGCTGATATGCATCTATAGTAAACACTCACTCATTCAATTCACTGTGTCCAATACAGAATAAAATGCTGAAGAGATTAGCCGAAATTATTCAGTTTGGTACCAAAATGAAGAGAAGCACCAACAGTAAAAGCTTCCAAACTGTGAGTTAACTCAATAGATAAAAATATTTATTTAGCTATCAAAAAATAAAGATCCACAAATAAATGTAGTAAGTTACCGACTCTGCTTCCCAAACAACAAACCCAGGACACCAAATCCCTTCTCTAGAAAAGGAGCAGGAATAAAAAATGGATAGCAAGTTAATGATGCATCTGTCATCCAATCATATAATATCACCAATATATATCTAGAAGGAAACTCACTACAACGCCACCACAAGGTAACATATATATGACTCCCCTTACAAGAAGAAATACTAAGGATCCGATACTCGATACTTACAGTGAAGAGTAGTCATCATACTGTTCCAAATACATTTATGACCAAGAAAGAGCAAAAGTGCAACAATCTAAAGTCGATATTGGAGAAAGTGAATAGTTTCTAGTATTGTTTTCTAGGAATTAAGATCTCTAGCAACAATTGCAGCAATTCCAAAATACATCAATATGCAATCTACATCTGTACACTAATACAACTCCAAATAAGAGTTTTTTTTTTTTTTTTTTTTTTGACAGAAACAGGGGAAAGCTTTTATTCAATCAAAGAAGCATCAAACAAAACAGCAGAGTTAGCACATAGAGGAGTTTCCTCTATCCACACCCTAAGACCTTCATAGTCCCTGCTACAATTAGCTAAGATATGGGTCACTCTATTCCCTTTCCTACCCACATGAGCAAAACTACATTGAGTACAAAAAGAAGCAAGATGTTTAATATCACGAACTAGAGCACCAAAACAGGAGGCCTCTTTTGTATCCAAATATGAGCTTCAAGAAATCTAAACCAGTCGTTCTCATACAAAAGCATTGAAGGTAAAGTGTAAAGTACACGATAAGCAACATTGTCATTACCAGTAGTACCGACAGAGAGACAGCATCTCCTACACAGACATAGTGTTTATTATACAATGAAGAAAACAAAAACACAATACATACTCACCGCCACAGGCTCCCTTGGATCAATAAATTCAACTTTGGCGACAGCAATAGGTGTTTGAATTTCCCCAGCAATAATAGGCTAATAATAAGATCAACAGAGTACAAAAAATTAATGTGAGAAGAATATGTGACATGCAGATATCACACAGAGGAATAAACTCACCAACCAATCCCTTGAAGCTTCATACATTAGTAGCCTCCCCAACTCACCCATTGCATTCTCTACGAAGAGGAAATATATAGTATATATGAGAAACTGCAACTAACATAATTCCAACTTTCAAACATAACTGCAAGTAACATAATTCCAACTTTCAAACATAACTACTTTCTGGAGTTGGAAGGAGAAAACTATTGTTCATTGAAAGCTACATTGTTTTACAAATTATTCCAAAGTGTATAGTAGTGCAGTTCTTGCTTAACTAGACGATCTTTAGTACGTTAAACTGGCTTTATTATAATTGAAAAATCAAGAAGATCTAGAATGCCACCACAGATTTTGCATTTACAAGTAAATTCCAACACCCAATTTTCAACAAAAGCAAACCGATACTAGTATAATTAACTAGCACTATTAAGCTGTTTCCATTTTCCAATTGAACTATTATTTCCCACAATTCCTTTTACCACAGTATACAATGCAAAATTTTAGCCAAATGTACTGTTATACACAAGGTCCTTCAGTAACAGATACTAGATGGGCACCCTTCCACCTTTCTATATCACTCCCCCTCTTGCTGGTTCTTGGGTTCTTCAATTTTCATATTGACCTAGCACCCCATCCTGTCCTGAACGGCATAGAAATTTAACTGAATGAACCCAATATAAAACATTGCTTCAGTTACCCCCTTTATGACTACCTAAGAAGACAGTAAACAGTTATCTTAAAACAATACTATCAGTCTATCAACAGGTCAGCCCCAGACATATTGTCTTAGTTTCACTAGATTCTTAGATACTATCAAATATCAACAAAACCTTTCCATCCTCCCCTTTGGAAGATTCAATTCTCTTTATGATATATAGAATCACAATTTCATAAAGGCTAGAGTTTAAAAAATAGACATCATCTTCAAGGTAATTTCGGTTGCAGCACCTATATATAAACTCTATGGCTCCATTTCTTTTGATGGAAAACATTTTCCAAGAAAATAAATTTCCCATTTTCCATTGGTTGTATAGTGTGGGAAACATTCCAAAATATTGGGCATGAGAACACTTCACCTCGAAACCCAATTTTGATATTCCCTCCGTCCCTTAATACAATGCCTCTTTTGAGCATTTATTCCTCACATAATAAAGAGAAAGAGGCATTGTATTAAGGGACGGAGGGAATAATAAAGAAGAAAATCAACATAATAAAAATGTGCATGCATTGTCAGCTCAAATTACAATAACAATCCATTTGAATTCTAAGAGCTAAGTTACTCAATCTCTTTCTTCATGTCATCTCAAGTATCTACGTAGTGTCCTTAATAGTTAACACTCAAACATGGATATGGACACTTACACTCAATTTTACACCAAAAGATAAATGTTGCATCAAAAAATACTGAGATTGGACACTTGGACAAATAACCATGTTCAACACCACAAGTACCCAAGTTTGAGTTAGATAGCCATAGCCTTAAAGTCAACATGCAGCACTGACAGCATAATTGGTATCACACCTATGAGCTCAATTTAGCTAGCACAAAATTAATTTTACATGCATGGACAATCTAAGCTATAGTAATCACACTCATGAGCTCAATATACCATAGATCTAAATTTAGCATGAATTATCAATGTAAGTTATAGTAATCACACTTATGAGTTCAATTTACATACCATAAAACCAAATTTTGCATACATTATTAATACAACTTATAGTGATCACACTTATGAGCTCAATTTACATACCACAAAACTAAAATTTGCATGCATTGTCAATCAAGTTATAATAAAGATAGATTAAAGAAGAACATCAACGTACTGAAAACAGCGCATGGAGTCTGCTCATTCCTAAGAACAGAAACCCAATGTTTAATCAATGGATGCGGCGGTACAAAAACCTGCAACAAAAGAACCAAAATTTCAATCAAATTACACAAAATTTGAACTTTCTAACAACAACCCATATAAATTCAAAGAATTCGCACAAAACCCCATCAATCAAAACACAGAAATTGAACACTCCAACAAAACCCAGATAAAATTAAAGAATTCCACAACAGTCAATCAATCAAAACAGAGAAAATTGAACAAATAAACAAAAACCCAAATCAAATTATGAACTTTTCCAATAACCCAAAAAGAAAATTTACAGAAACATTGAATAAGATTAGAAATTACAAGCATTTTGTCATCAGACATGAGGGGTTTCTGATCAATAGTAGCACGACAATTAACAGAAAGAGAAGGAAAACGGCGGGGTTGAGGAGTGAGAGAGTAGCGTGTTTGGGGTTGAGAGAAAGTGAAAGTAGTGGGAGTTGAAGTTGGGGTTATGCATTTTAATTCCCACATTTTTTTCTTACTTATTAGAGTGACGAATTCTCGTTATAATCGCCTTTAGAAATAGAAAGAAAATAAATGGAATTTTTGGATATTCAAAAAGAAGATAGATTGACAGATTGTGTTAATGTGTTGAGTTTGGGAAGAAGACAGGAAATTTAGTGCAGAGAAAAAAGAAATTGGGGCCAAAATTGCACCAATCTTGTGAGGCCGTTTTAGTCAATAACTGTGAGAGGTTTTGTTTGGTATAACAAGGGTACATGCATCTTTACAGGGAAATTTATATGCACTCGGGTATATTTAGGTCATGTTTGGTAATTGGCTTTTTAATGGCTTTTTGGTTAGCTTTTGACTTTTTTAAGTGGTCAAACAGCCAAAAAATGTGTTTGGTAATTGGCTTTTTAGTCAGCGAAAAAGCTGGCTTTTAAGCCAAAATAAAAAAGCTGCTTTGAGTAGCTTTTTTGTTGGCTTTTGGCTTGTTGGCCCACAAATTATCTAATAAACAGCCAACAACCACAAATTAATTTACCAAACACTTTTATAAACAGCCCGCTTAAACAGTCAATTTCAAAAGCCATTATAAACAGCCAAACATTCCAGCTGGTCAAACAAGCCAAGTGAACCAGCCAACAGCCATTTGTCAAACAAGGCCTTAGAGTTAGGTTGATTTTTTTTTTTTTTTTTTTTTGTTGCAATAACTTGATAAGTGCATTCGATCATTAGTACTCCGATAATTGGATTTTAAGTTCAGATTTGGCTGCGAATGATTTTTATAGCTATTAGGTTATACAACATTTTACAAAGTGAGAGAGTGAGGGATAGCTCAAGTGGTTAGAGTTTCCCTCCCAATTCTAAGAGATCTTGGGATCAATTCTCACCCCCACCCTTGTGGCTCTCTAAACACCAAAAAAAAAAAACATTTTACAAAGTGTATTGCATTTTGAAATGAAGAAGAAAAAAATAGTATAATCTTATTAGGTCAATCTAACATTATACGAAGTAGTTCTTAATCAAGTATTGATCAACCTAAATCCATATAATCATTCAACATGATTACATGAAGCTAAGTCGGATCATGAACCAAATGTTACCATTAGGCCCATTCACGTGACATCAAACTTTATGATAAAGGCTAATAAGTTCAAATGATAATTTAGCTTAGTTATATGTGACTTATCTTATTTAGACTTTATCTAAATTAAATTGTGTATGAAATTGTCTAGAGAAAAACATTATTTTCTCTAAATCAATATGAACTTATCATAACTTATTTAAATATCTTGTCTAAACTAATTTAATCAATTAGGGCCTAACTTGCAAAAATTAATCATCAAATCAAGTTCAATTTACCACTAAAATTTACTGTTTATGTAAATTATTATTGAAAAACACAAATAAAATATAACCTCATATATCTTACCAAAAAAAAATATATATATAACCTCATATAGGATACTATCCTTTTGTACATTGATAAAATTTTGTATGATATGCAAGTATTCGATTTGTTCTACTGAGACATCTGCGAAATACTAGTAATATAAAACTTTCTATCATCAAAACGTAAATTATTTAACTTGAATGTGCTTTAATTTGGGGAAGCTAAAGTAGTTAGCTTAAATAATACTCCCTCCGATCCTAAATTACATTCCTATTTCTCTCTATTATGTTGATAAGTATTAGGTGACTCGTACTTCGTTGCTTTGTCCGCCCGATCGGGCGGACATTACCCGGTCTGACCGGGCGGAAGAAGAAGAGGTGCCTGGCAAATTCGTTGAAGAAGCTGCTCTCGCGCGCCCGACCGGGCGAGCCTTCGCCCGATCGGGCGGACATTGCCCGATCGGGCCGGGCGGAAGGGGTTTTTTTGGAGTACTTCGGTTGTTGGAAAAGACGTGTTCTCGCGCCCGATCGGGCGGGCCTTCGCCCGACCGGGCGATCTGGGTTTTTTCAGCGATTACGAATTTAATATTTATCATATTGTGATATTGTAACCTAAGTATATCTTAATTAGGAATCACTACTATATAAACTTCCTATTATCATTATTAGGGTAACGGAGAGAGAAACACAAGAGAGAGAATACTTTGAGTGATTAAGTTCTTCATTGTAATCTTTGTAATCTTTGCCAGTTTATAGTGAAATCATTCGATCTCAGTGCCCGTGGACGTAGCTATCACATCGATAGTGAACCACGTAAATTCTTGGTGTTGTTCTTATTGTTTGCATTGAATTTCTTTATTGTTTTCTTGTTTGTTTACGACCTTTGCTTCCGCTGTCGCACAACAATTGGTATCAAGAGCTCAGGTTCAATCCTTGGAGAGTTTCTTGAAGATAACAATGGCAGGAGATTCAACAATAAGAATTGAGAAGTTTACCGGGAAAAATAGTTTCGGGCTATGGCAAATTAAGATGAAGGCTCTGTTAAAACAACAGCAGATATGGCGTCCGTTGGCTCCAAAGAGTACTACTTCGGAGTCAGGAGACGGACCGACTGACTCGCAGTTAGAAGTTATGGAAGAGAAGGCACACTCTACCATATTACTTAGTCTTGATGATCAAATCATCACGGAGGTGGCTGATCAGGAAACGGCGGCTGGATTGTGGCTGAAGCTGGAGTCATTGTATATGACTAAGTCGTTGACCAACAAATTATTACTGAAACAGCGGTTGTTTAGCCTCCGGATGCAGTCAGGTACTTCCTTACGGGAACATCTAGAAAAACTTAACTCTATTTTGCTTGATTTACGTAATTTAGATGTTAAAATTGATGATGAGGATGCTGCGTTGATTTTACTTGTATCTCTACCGTCTAGCTTTGAGAATTTTGTAGAGTCTTTTGTTGTTGGTAAGGATTCTATAACCTTAGAAGAAGTGAAGGCAGCACTTCATACTAGGGAACTCAGAATGAAAGCTACGAGTGATAATAGGGATAATGGTAGTGGGTTGTTTGTTAAGTCCGGAAAGTCTAAAAAGAATAAGGGGTTTAACAAGGGGAACAATGCTGGGTCGGGTGCTGGAAACGGCAAGGATGGATCTAGTAAAACTACTACTAAAACATGTTATTACTGTAAAGAACCGGGTCACTTTAGGAATAATTGTCCGGTGAGGAAAAACAAGTCCCAGGCTGCTGTAGTTGAAGAGAAACCGAATGAGAGCTATAATTCAGAGGAAGATTTAGCATTAGTCAGTTCTGCTAGGTCTGATGATTTATCTGATAACTGGGTTCTAGATTCAGGGTGTTCGTTCCATATGTGTCCACGTCGAGATTGGTTTGATACATATGAACCTCGCAATGGGGGTATGGTTATAGTCGGTAACAATGCTCCATGTAAGGTCACAGGTATTGGTTCCATGAGGTTGAGGACTGTTGATGGGCGGAGGTTAACTTTGACTAATGTACGGCATGTTCCTGCTTTAGGAAAGAATCTGATTTCATTGGGTACCCTGGATGACTTGGGGTACAATGGTGTGTTTTCAGATGGGGAGTTGTGTATTTTCAGAGGTTCTGAGTTGGTACTTAAGGGTATCAAAAGGAACACCCTCTATGTTTTTGAGGGTGTTACACTGCCTAGTTCTGCGGTTTGCGCATCTGTATCTCACCAGGAGATGACTAAGATTTGGCACATGAGGCTTGGTCATATGGGGGAGAAGGGGATGCAGCTATTGTCCAAGAGGGGTCTTCTATCCGGGGTCAAGGTTGCCAACCTTGAATTTTGTGAGCATTGTGTGTTTGGTAAGAAACACAGGTCAAAGTTCAGCAAGGGTGCTCACATTACTGATGCAGTGCTCGATTACATCCATTCAGATTGCTGGGGTCCATCTAGAGTTGAAGGTATGGGAGGTTACCACTATTTTGTGTCATTTGTTGATGACAAGTCCCGATACACATGGCTTAGGTTGCTTAAGTCAAAGGATGAGGCCTTCAAAGTTTTCAAGCAATGGAAAGCTTTGGTGGAAAATCGACAAGGAAGGAAGATCAAGAAGCTACGAACGGACAATGGGCTAGAGTTTTGCAAAGACGAGTTTAATCAGTTCTGTGCAGATGAGGGTATAGGTCGGCATCATACTGTCAGGAAGACACCACAGCAGAACGGTGTAGCAGAACGGGTTAATCAGACACTGCTAGAGAGAGTTCAATGCATGCTCTCTAATGCAGGGCTTGGGAGGAGGTACTGGAGTGAAGCTGTGTTAACAGCTTGTTATGTCATTAATAGGGGTCCTCATTCTGGAATTGATTCCAAGATTCCGTTTGAGATCTGGAGTGGTAAGTTGCCTAATTTTTCGAATTTGAAGATTTTTGGTTGTGTTGCTTATTATCATGTTATTGAGGGTAAGCTGGATCCACGAGCCAAGAAGGGGTGTTTTGTTGGGTACGGGGATGGTGTGAAGGGGTTTAGAATTTTTTCACCTTCGGAGGGTCGGGTCATTCTTAGTAGGGATGTTACTTTCGATGAAAACACCATGTATTCAATTAAAAATGCAGAGATTTCAGATTTGAGAAGGGAAGGAGACAATTTATTACAGACAGATGGGGTACTTGAGGTACATCAGTCTACCATTGCTGATTTACCTCGGGTACAATATATTGATGATGATGCTGATGTTCCAGTGCCGGGTACTCCTGAACCTGAGATTACTCCTACTCATTCTAACTCTGGGGATGAGGTGGAGCAATCTAATCAGGGGTCATCTAGTCAACCTGACACCATTCTTGAGATGCCTAAACGAGTTATCAAGAAGCCTGTTAGATTGATTGAAGAGATGGAGGGAAGAAATTGCTGTGTTGATGCGATGACTGGTTATGCATTGAGTGTAGCTGATGATGTAGAGTCATTTGAACCTGCCACATATAAACAAGCAATTAGTTGTAGTGAGTCTGCGCAATGGCTTGCCGCAATGGGTGAAGAGATGCAGTCTCTTTACAAGAACAGAGTGTGGGAACTGGTAAAAGTACCGGAAGGGAGGAAGCTTGTGGGTTGTAAATGGATTTACAAGAAGAAAGAAGGGTTGTCGGAAACTGAGCAAATACGTTTTAAGGCTAGGCTAGTTGCTAAGGGGTTCAGTCAGGTAGAAGGGGTTGATTTTGTTGAGATATTCTCACCTGTGGTTCGACATACTTCTATCCGTGTGTTATTGTCAATTGTAGCACATTTTGATCTTGAGCTGGAGCAGTTGGATGTTAAAACGGCTTTCCTTCATGGCGATTTGGAGGAGGAGATT